ATTCTGGCACTACCTGGACCTGAACGCCATGCCGTCCCCCGGCGAGGAGGCCTGCCGAGCCCGCGCGGGGAGGGAGCACCTTGCGCGCCATCCTGCGGACCGTGCGCACCGCCTCTGTTCGCTGCTGGTGTGAGGCCCCCCTCGCAGCGCTCCGGTCGTTGTTGCCTTCCTCCCAGACCTGGTGCCCTGGTTTCTCGGTGCGGGGCCCCCAGAAGCCTCGGCCCTCTGCCCCCCCAGAAAGCTGCTATTGTTGCTGTCTTCCGGGAAGCAGCCCTTTTAGTATGTAGAGCGCTGAGTTTTAATCCGGGATATTGTTGGGGAACGAATGAGGAGGAGGAGAGGAGGAGGAGGCGGAGGAGGAGGAGGAGGAGGAGGAGTTTGTTTTTTCTTCTGGGAAGACCGTTTTAGTAGAAGCCACTGATTTGCCAGCCCTCGCCCAGCTGCCGAGAAACGGCGAAGGACCTCGCAGCGCCTCGATCGTCGCTGCTGCGCTTCTCCTGGACCTGGCGCCCCAGTTTCCTTTTCCAGTGCGGCGCCCCCAGAAGCCTGGGCCCGTTCCCCAGGGTTAAGTCGGGCATGTCCCCTCTACGTGGGGAGTATTCAAGAGCAGTCCAAAAATAGCCTGGGGACGATTTTCCAATTATCTTTGATCATTTTATATGGTTTTTCCTGTTTAAGAAAAATGTGTGTCCGAAATGCGCCTATAGGAGGACATGACCGACCTAACCCCAGCGTTTGCTCTCAGTTTCGGTCGTCCCCGTCCTCCTCCTCCCGATTCCGACCTAGCCTGCCCTGGAGTCCCCACGTGGGCAAACTTGGGGGCACCCCTCTACGCCACAAACAAACGAATACACCGACACCCTCCCCTGGACGGTTCCTGGGCCTCAGGGAAGGGTTTGCGGTGTATAAATCACCACTGCGAGCCAGCGACTTTGTACACCGTCCGCCTCCCTGTTATGTTGTCTCTCCCTCCCCTCGTCCTCTCCTCTCCTCCTTCCTCCTGTTTCCTCCTGCTCTCTTTGTCCTCCTTCCGTTCTTGCGGGCCGTAATTCGTGACAGTTTCGTCGCGTGCCCCCGCTTCTGTATCAGTTTGTCGCCTCTCGAACCCAAAGGGGTGCGATGTAGCTTCTCCGGCTAGCATCCCGAACCGCGTGCAAGGTGTTTGGCATCGTCGCGGTCAAACAATAAAAACGTCTTCCTCCCTGAAGGTGCATGCACAGTGTGTCGGAGGGTGTCTGTGTGTATGTTTTCGTGGCGTACCTTCCAACTTCTTGACAACCCGGGTAAGGATAGTCATTCCTGCGCACGCCGATCCGGCCTTCGTTCGCACACCTGCAAGAGCTCGGATCAGACGGAGCATGCCGACGGGCGGAGCTCCCCCCTATTCCGCCCCCTCCTCCTCTCTCGAAGAAGAAAAAGACGGCCTGAACCTACACTTTGGAGCTTCGCGTGGACTCCTCGGATCGGCGGTTCGCCCCCCTGGCGGCGCTTCTGGGGCCCATCGCCGATCCCAGAAATCCGGGCGGAGCTCTGAACACTTGTGTTGATGCAGCCTTTTTTCTTCTATCCTCCCTCCCTTCATCCACTTCCTCGCTCGCCTGCCGGCCCGCCTGCCCCCCCCCTGAGCCACGGTCCCGCACGACAGGGTCTCGCGCCTCAGTGCCCCACGCGATGCCACGGCTCACAGGAGACAGAAGTACCACCTCCACCAGCTAGAGGGGTGGCTGTCTCACCCTCTCGAGCTGGTGGCACCTCGTTCCAGGCATGACCCCAGAGAGTTCCCCCGAAGGAGGTGCCACCGGCTCGAGGGGAGGGAGCGGCCACCCCCCCAGGTGGGTGGTAGTGGCACTCTTGCCCCTCCCGACCGAGGGGGGCTCCACTCTTGCCTGTCCCGCCCGCCCGACCCGCCCGTCAGGGTCCGCCCACCTGACCTGCCAGTTGCAGTCCGACTGGCCGCTCGCTCGCACGAAAGCCTGCGCGCCCGACTTCCTGCCCCGCCCGCCCGACCCGCCCGTCGAGCTCCACTCTCTCCGCCTGGCCTGCCCTTGAGGCCTCGCCCGCCCGACCCGACCGCTGGGGCCCGCTCGCTCGCTTGAAGGCCCGCCTGCCCGCTTTTCACCACCCACCAGACCACCCCAGCCCAACCCGAAGGCCTCGACCTGCCCTCCATCTCCAGTGGGGGGGGGGTCGGGGAGCATTGACAAAACACATGGAACCCGTACCCCCCCCCAACCCGAAATTCGGCTGCAATTCGGGTCTTCGGGTTGGGTTGGGGTCGTCTGGTAGGTAGTCGTTTCAGGTCCCACCCACCCGTCAGTGCCCGCCCGCCCGCCCCGCTCGTTAGGTTCCGCCCGTCAGGGTCCGCCCGCCCGACACGCCAACTCGCCCGTCAAGGTCCGTCTGCCCGCCCGACGCAAACCCGCCCGTCAGGGTCAGCCCGCCCGACCCGCTTGTGAGGGCCCGCCCGCTCGTCGCTTGCATGAAGTCCTGCCCGTTTTGACATCCCGCCCGCCGGACCTGCCGTTCAGTGCCCGACCGCTTGCTCCCGTGAAAGCCCGACCGCCTGGCTTCAAGGTTCCAGCTGCCCGACTTGCCCGCCAGGGCCTGCCCGGCCGACCCGCCCGTTTTCGCCAGGCGGCTCTCTGGTACGAAAGCCCGCCCGACCCGCCCGCCCGTTAGGTTCCGCCCGCTCGCGTGCGAGACTAAGTCGCCCGCCAGCTTGATGTATCACCACCCACCAAACCACCCCAACCCAACCCGAAGGCTCAGATTTGCCCTCGATTTCCAGTGGGGGGGGGGTCGGGGAACGTTGAAAAAACACATATGGAACCCGTACCCCCCCCAAGCCGAAATTGGGGTCTTCGGGTTGGGTTGGGGTGGTCTGGTAGGTAGTCAATGTAGGAATTCAGAGGTGCGCATTCTTGTGGTGAGGAGCTGGCCCAGATGTGCGCGGTCGGCCACTCGCGCGGCGGAGCACACGTCTCCACGCGACTCCACACGTGACTGTACCATCTGTTCGGGGTCCACGCGCTGGAAAAAAAGCATGGTTCATCACTCGGGGGCGGAAAAGAGGGGGGTGATGACTAGGGGGGGGTGGATTTCATGGCGCGGGCCATGATGTTTCCTCAGATTTCATGGCGCCTCTTCTTATTGCGAAGGCCTGACGGCCGGTGCCGCCGACCCTGTTCGCAATGCGCAGCAAGACGCACGGGCTGTGGGATGGTTTGGGGGAACGGGGAGAAGGACGAGAAGGTGGGGGAGGGAGGTGTCGTATCTGACCCGGGACTTCCCCGGGACTCCCCCGGGACCCCCCCCGGGACCTCCTCTCCCCCCCCCGTCGGGGAAGGGAAAGGGAAGGGGCTTCCCTTCGACTCAATGACGACGTTGCTCAAGGTCGGTACGGGGGGGGGGCGTCGTATCTGACTCGGGGGGGGGTCGCTACCCCCCCCCGCTACCCCCCCCCCCCTCCCGGCGGGGGAGGAATGAAAGGGAAGGGGCTTCCCTTCGACTCAATTACGAGGTTGCTCAAGGTCGGCTTGGCTGGAGCCCAGGGGAAGAGGAGTCCCAGGGGGGGGCGTCGTATCTGACCCGGGGGGGGGGTCGCTACCCCCCCCCCTCCCGGCGGGGGAGGGATCAAAGGGAAGGGGCTTCCCTTCGACTCAATTACGAGGTTGCTCAAGGTCGGCTTGGCTGGAGCCCAGGGGAAGAGGAGTCCCAGGGGGGGGCGTCGTATCTGACCCGGGGGGGGGGTCGCTACCCCCCCCCCCTCCCGGCGGGGGAGGGATCAAAGGGAAGGGGCTTCCCTTCGACTCAATTACGAGGTTGCTCAAGGTCGGCTTGGCTGGAGCCCAGGGGAAGAGGAGTCCCAGGGGGGGGCGTCGTATCTGACCCGGGGGGGGGGTCGACACCCCCCCCCCCTCCCGGCGGGGGAGGGATCAAAGGGAAGGGGCTTCCCTTCGACTCAATTACGAGGTTGCTCAAGGTCGGCTTGGCTGGAGCCCAGGGGAAGAGGAGTCCCAGGGGGGGGCGTCGTATCTGACCCGGGGGGGGGTCGCTACCCCCCCCCCCCTCCCGGCGGGGGAGGGATCAAAGGGAAGGGGCTTCCCTTCGACTCAATTACGAGGTTGCTCAAGGTCGGCTTGGCTGGAGCCCAGGGGAAGAGGAGTCCCAGGGGGGGGCGTCGTATCTGACCCGGGGGGGGGGTCGCTACCCCCCCCCCCCTCCCGGCGGGGGAGGGATCAAAGGGAAGGGGCTTCCCTTCGACTCAATTACGAGGTTGCTCAAGGTCGGCTTGGCTGGAGCCCAGGGGAAGAGGAGTCCCAGGGGGGGGCGTCGTATCTGACCCGGGGGGGGGGTCGCTACCCCCCCCCCCTCCCGGCGGGGGAGGGATCAAAGGGAAGGGGCTTCCCTTCGACTCAATTACGAGGTTGCTCAAGGTCGGCTTGGCTGGAGCCCAGGGGAAGAGGAGTCCCAGGGGGGGGCGTCGTATCTGACCCGGGGGGGGGGTCGCTACCCCCCCCCCCTCCCGGCGGGGGAGGGATCAAAGGGAAGGGGCTTCCCTTCGACTCAATTACGAGGTTGCTCAAGGTCGGCTTGGCTGGAGCCCAGGGGAAGAGGTCTCCCAGGGAAAGGGAAGGACAGAGACGACGAGTACAAAGAATGACGGAGATGACGGCTCGAACGGAAAAGCCCCTCACACACGCCGACAGGGTCGCGCCTCTTCTTATTTCATTACGGCCCTGGCCCCCCCGCTTGGCCGCGCACATGCCGCCGGTCATGATTTGCACCCCCCCCTCTTGGACACCCCCCTCTTTGCCGCTCCCGAATCACGTCAGCGCCCCAACTTTCTGCTCTCGGAGTGCTGACCAGAGCACGGTGCAAGACGCCTCTGAGGATCGACTGTCTCTCCAGACTTCTCAAGGCGGCGGGCCTCCAGGAGGCCGGACTTCTGCTTCGCCTCCCAGAGGCCTTGGACGGCCTCCCAGGGCCCCGGAGGTGGATGGGACGGATGGGGGGACGAATCGGGGGAGCGAGAAGGGGACCGAGAGGGGGAGGGAGGAGGCTCTAAGAATGGGGAGGGAAGGAGCGAGTCGAGGCGGGGGATGGAGAGGGCGGCCAGGGAGCAGGAGCTCCCGGCCCTCGCTTCCCAAGGCCCAGAGCCCCAGGAGAGGGAGAGGAGAGGCAGGGACGAAGGGCGTCGAAGCAGTG